TCGAGCTGAGCCTGTTCCAGCCGATGTTGGAGATGACGTCGTTGAGGCGGTGATAGACCCCGCCCCGGTGCTTGAAGTACACGTTGAGCTTGGTGAACTCGAGCTGCACGTCGCTGCCGTCGTGCAGGAACAGCACCAGGATGCCCACGTTGTGGTACCTGCGGGGAGGAGGGAGGGGGTGCACGGGGAGGTGGGTCGATGAAATGGGTTGGGTTGGAAGGGACCTTAAAGATCATCAGGTTCCAACCCCCCTGCATGGGCAGGGACACCTCCCACCAGCCCAGGCTGCTCCAAGCCCCATCCAACCTGCCCTTCAACACTGCCAGGGATGGGGCAGCCACAGCTTCCCTGGGCAACCTGGGCCAGGCTCTCACCACCCTCACACTCCACAATTCCCTCCTCATGTCCAACCTAAATCTCCCTCTTCCAGTTTTAACCCATCCCCCCTTGCCCTGTCAGCACTGGTGTCACCCTGATGTTTGCACCAGCACCCATGGTCCATCCCTTTGGGAGCAGACAGACTCCCTGAGTGATCCAGACAACCAATGTGCTGCAGGGTGGGTCTGGCACTGTGCAAAGGCCCATGAGTCACAGAATGGTGGGGGTTGGGACCTCTGAAGATCACCTTGTCCATGTGCCAGAGCAGAACCACCTACAGAGCAGGGGAGGGCAGGGCTGGGCAGGAGCCAAACCAGCCCAGCAAGAGCCCTGCTGCTGCCTGTCCCTGAGCTCAGTGAGAGGAGCTGCAGGTTCTGCCATGCAGCTGCTCTGGGCACACTGCAGAGAGGCAGAGGGGCAGGCAGGGAGCTCACCTGAAGGCATAGGAGAAGGAGATGAGGGTGAGTGTGACCACATGGTGCAGCAGCATCACCACCGAGTCCCGGCGCCATGTGTCCATGTAGGCTGTGGCGTAGATGGAGTGGCCGTAGAAGCTGCCCTGCAGCAGGTAGGCAATGGCAATGTCTGTGGGCACCTCCATGCCCTTCTTCCAGTCTAGGGGGGGACAGACAACTCAGTGAGCCCAGAGCTCCTGCCAGCAGCAGCAGAGGCAGCAGCCCCAACCCTTCACGGGGCTCCAGCTCAGAACCCAGGTCTCCCAACCTTTGGCATTAGACCCACCCCCTCTCCTAGATCTGAGGGAGAAACCTTGATTTACTTCTCTCCTGCTTTTAACTTGTCAATCCTTTAGCTACTCGGCCCTGGGCTCATCCCTCCCATCTCCAATAGCCACTAGGTGACTCCCTCTGTAACCAGATGAAGGCAGAGAGCCTGTCATGCCCTTCCTGTGCCCACAGCATCCCAGGAAAGCCCATTTAGAGATTCAGCCTTCTCTTTTGCTCACCCCAACTCCCATTCCCTTGTTCAACCCAGATGTCCCATGAACTTGGACACCCTAATCCACGCCCATTTCTCCCTGGCTCTTACTCACCATAAAACACAGAGGGTGGGTCATAGAAGAAGGGGTAGTCGGTGAAGAAGAGCAGGTAGATGCCATATGACCAGGCCAACGTGTAGAAAAGCAGCTTCCAGGCACTCTCGGGCATCTTGGCAGCATCTTTTGGCTGCAAGTTGCACCATTCCCCAAAGGGCTGCAAGAAGAGGGGGGGAAATATCATCAGGTGGGGCAAAGAGTCCTGGGGAGCTCAGGGTAGAGGCACCAAATCTCCAGGAGACTCCGAGCACTGGATGCTGAGTGAGTGCACCAGGAGACAGGGCAGAACTGGGGTCACCAACCCCTTTGTTTTTGTTTGTTTGCTGTCTTTGCAGCACAAATAAGGAGGTGAAAGAGGCTCCAGAGAGGCTGAATGAGGAAAACACTCCAAGGCTGGAAATCCTTCCACTCAGCCATGGTGAGCTGCAAAGGCAGAGCCTGGGGGGGGGCAAAAGGCAGAGCCCAGGGGGGGCAAAAGGCAGAGCCCGGGGGGGGGTGGGGGGGCAAAAGGCAGAGCCCAGGGACTGCCCCCCACCCTGGCTC